TCAGGAAATCAGCCAATCACACTACCTTGATTTCAACCTTTTGGTTCATCAGGCAATACAGACCCTGAAAAAGGTGACCGATTGGCTGATACCTTATTTTGCAAATTGAAACATTCTGCATGTTAAATGTTTATTTTCTTAATAAATGTATTGACCACTTTTTAATAATACTGTTTCCTGGTCTAATTAAGCTCTGACCAATAACTGTTTTATAATTATATTTTATGTGGTGAAACCTAGTTAGGTAATATCTGGCTCATGAGGATTTAATTATTTTACTTTTGCTCTGCTTAGTGTATTGAGCACTCTTCGTTTTAACTTATTAATCGCTGGTTTTTTTTCTTTCTTTGTACCAGAGATTTCAGCTGCTAGACGAGTTCTTTCGCCCTTTTTGGATGTTTCTGGTGCTTTTTTTTTTTTTCTTCGAATGCTAATTTATTTGAAAATTGTGCTATCCAAGTTTTTTCCCCTCCGAATTTAAATAGATTCATATATATATATATATATATATATATATATATATTATACAGTGTTACATTACAGCGTGCACATACCCACTACTAAACTGTACGTCTTGTTTCAACATTAAAAAAAAAACTTTTTTAAGGTTTCATGAGATGGGGAATTACGATGCGACTGAAATATTTTATTCATAAATGCAGTTATCGAAGCAACCCTCACTGGAAAGGCATAAAAAAATTTTACATGTGGAGAAAGAAAGGTAACTAAGTGATTCGTAACAGCGAGAGGGAGATTCTCCACCTGATGAAACATTAAAAAACCTTTTTCAAATCTCGAAACAAGATGTACAGTTTTGTAGTGGGTATGTACATGTTCTAATGTAACACTGCATAATAAATATCTACGGCTTTACTTTTGTTTTGAGCTCTGTTTCGAATTAGTGTTTTGGACGCTGAAATCTTGCACTTTGTCCTTTTACATATATATATATATTACTGTTTTTAAACTACAATTCTCCATGATTTTTGTCATACATTCATATCTGCTCGATGCATATCCAAATGTAGACAAATGACGTCACACATTATAAACATAAAACTTGTCTTCAAATAATTGTCGGACAAAGTCCATTTCATAATGTGATGTCATTTGTTTTTTCATTGATACGCATCGAGCAGATATGAATTTATACGAAAAAAATCATGGAGAATTGTAGTTTAAAAACAGTAAAATCGACCTTGCTAACCGAAACGCTCCTCTGTAGCGAAATCGGTAAAAGTTTCGTCAGAATATATATATATATATATATATATATATATATATATATATATATATATATATAACGTATCCGATTATATATAATATATCCTATTACAATACAACCATTTTGTTTGTTATTTTAATTCTAACACCTGTAAAGAATTTTTTACGAGGTGGACCGAAAAGGTTCTGAAATATAGAAAAAACTTTTAGAAGCTTATTAAGCGTGGTTTGACTGTGTCTGTCTGGTGAAAAAACGTTTATTTTATTGTGATGGATGGTTAAAAACGAGAGGGGAGATGGGATGTGCTTCTTTTATTACCAAGAGTTCCTTCTAAATCCCATAGAATTTTTTGAATATTTAGCAGCTGAAAATTGCCTTTCGAATACTCTTCCCAAATTAACATTGGCTTCATTTTTATATCAAGTATTAACCACTTGAAACACACACCCACACACCCACACACATATATATATACACACACACACACACATATATATATATATATATATATATATTAAATAAGAAATATTTAACTATTTTTAGAAAATGTTTTTGCTTAGTATTTAATAAAAAGACAATTTACGTTTCCGGTTTAAGAATTTAAAAAGTAGGAATCATGCAAAGTGATTTAAATGAAGAATTTAAAAATAATTGCGTATTTAAATTTTAAATGCAGTTTCCTGGTGTACGCCATGTTTTTTTTTTTGTCGGGCGCAAAACTGCTATCAAAAGACATGATTAAATTTTTAAAGCAATGAATAAAATTTCTGTTAACGTTCAGAAATATTCTGTTTCTCACAAGCGAGCGAGAAATATCTATTGTATAAATATGGATTCTCCTTACTTTCCACTGAGGAAAATGAGATGAAAAAATAATAGGTTAAATAGTTCGAACGATAAAGTGGAAAAACCCATTAAAATAAAATAAAGATAAGTGAATATAAACGTTTATGAGATTTAAACAAACATATTCTTTTTTTTGTTATAAATTACTTTGGTCTACCTCCACTAAAAATGTCAATAGATTATATATATATATATATATATATATATATATATATATAAGGGGTCCATAAAGTTCGTGTGCACTTTAAAAAATTTATAACTTTATTTGTATTTACGATAGAAATAATCTGTTAAAAATTTTATAAAGTTTAATGTACCTAGTTTTAAGTATAGTTATTGAATAATTCTTTACCACAAAATTTGCAACAATTTTTAGATAAGTAAAAAAATATTTTCTTTTTTCCAGCGTATTAACCTTTGTATTGTTAATGATGGAGGACATGTGGAGACTTAAATAAAATTTCAATAAAACCTTAAAAAATATAGATTTACTTCTTTCTAATCCTTTTTACAAATTATTTCTATCGCAAATACAAATAAAGTTATAATTTTTTAAAGTGCACATGAACTTTATGGACACCCCATATATATATATATATATATATATATAAAACTGTATAACCCGTACTCAGTCCACACCGGTGTGTTGATAAGACAGACAACCGATATCTTCGTCTGCCGAAATAGTCTATTCCTCATACGAGGTTATTTTAGATTTTATTGTTTATTAATTATATTGCTCTGTATTAATAAATACATTGAGCTCTTTTTGTGGATCAGTTTTAATATTTTATATTACTAGGATCCACTTGGATTATATACCAACGGATTTGTTACCTTTACTATATATATATATATATATATATATATATATATATTTATATAGAGAGAGAGATATATATAAACCGTCAGCCAGATATGTGTATATATAGAGGGTGCAGAAATACATCCCACTAATGATAAGACATTTGTTCGATGAAGTTAACATGTCAGCTTATATTTTACCATTATATGGCATTTATTTCCGAGAGGTATTTATTGCCGCATCCTATATATATATAAAAAATATATAACTTTATATATATATATATATAATGACAAATCCGTAGGTGGTAGGGATTATTCCAAAGAAATCTTTTTAATACAAAAATATCAAAAAATTAAATCCACGATGAGAGCTCATTGTATAATACTGGCAGATTTATATACAGAACAACATGAATAATAAGAAAAAGACATGATTAAATTTCTAAAGCAATCAATAAAATTTCTGGTAACGCTCAGAAACATTCTGTTTCTCACAAGCGAGCGAGAAATATCTATTGTATAAATATGGATTCTTCTTACTTTCCACTGACGAAAATGAGATGAAAAAATTGATAGGTTAAATAGTTCGAATGAGAAAGTGTAAAAAAACTATTTAAAAAAACGTAAGTGAATATACACGTTTATGAGATTTAAACATATTCGCTTTTACATAAATAAATTACTTTGATCTACCTTCACTAAAAATGTCCATATATATATATATATATATATTGATGCATGTTTCATTAAATAATATAGACAAGTTTTGTCTATTTATTTTAAGTAAAATCCTTGCATATTGTCTGATAAGCTTAATAACATTATCATTAAAAACGAAAGGAAATCACCATATTGATACATGTTTACATCAAATCTAAACTTGTCTATATTATTTAATGAAACATGCATTAATGAATAATTACAAGTTTTCATATACAATCAAAAACATATATAAAAATATATATATATATATATATATATATATATATATATATATATATATATATAACGGAACAACACGAACTCAAAAAACGCAGGAGTTGATAAGACAGACGATCTATATTTTCGTTTGCCGAAATAAGCTATTTCCGATTTAGGATTTTATTGTTTATTAATTATTTGTTCTGTAATAAATACATTGAGCTCTTTTTGTTTTTGTATTAGTTTTAATATTTTATCTTACTAGGATCCATTTGCATTTTTGTTACCTTTACTATATATATATATATATATATAGAGAGAGAGAGAGAGAGAAAGAGGGGGGGGAGATAATATTAGTGGTTAATAAACACACACACATACACATATATGTATATATATAATATAAATATATATACATAGATACATACACATATAAATGTTTCCAAGAGGATAGAATCCAGGTAGAACTCAATGTCAAGGACAGAATAAGAATATAATATAAAAAGCGCAAAAACAATAATATTTCCATGGTTATAATTTTATTACATTGAATAAAATCACGATCCAATTCATCAGACCTACAAATTCAAAAAAATATAGGAAAATATAACTCCTATATAAAAAAACAAATTTATATAAGTGGATGTATAATGATATTGTGTGTGTGTGTGTGGGATAATATGGATTTTTTATATATAATATGAATGTATTTATGAAAGCTATTGATAATATATAACAGACAAGAAAAAAATTCATATAAAACATGAAGTATTAATTATTAAAATTTAATCATATTAATTATGCACGTTAGGTATGATATGTATATATGAATACGTATATATATATATATATATATATATATGGTATATTTTAGAAATATATATATATATATATATATATATATATATATATATATATATATATATATATATATATAATATGAATATATATATAGCTAATGGATAGCAATTTGTTTGAGCTGAGTTCTGTGAATTCCATATTTATCCAATTACATTGACTTACGTTTTTAATACCCTTTGGAAAAATTGAATCCTCTTCAAATAAAAACTATGGGTAAAATAGCAAATTAGACTGGGTTCTATAGCCTTGGATGGCAACTGGTCTAGGAGAAGGACAACTCTGAATTCAAAACCTGCGGAGGGTCATTTATCAAAACCTTTTTCATTCCACGTAGTGCACCAGGTCTCTGCATTTGGCCCTTCAAAATTAATTTGTGTGGATGGTCCTGAACGAAACCTTCACCACTATAATCAAATCTCATGTGCCGGTGTCCTCAATAAATCGGTTTCCTAGAACTGATCTGCTAATCCTCATACGTCGAATTCGACATTAGAGTCAGTATATATTATATCTGTCATGCGTTTGTATATTTCTATGTAACTAAATTTAATGAACAAAAAAAAAAAATTATATAATTATATATATTTATGTGTGTGTGTAAAGCACACACACACACACGAACATATATGTTTACATACATATATATATATATATATATATATATATATATATATATATATATATATATATATATATATATATATATATATATATATATTTATCAAGATTTTTTCTGAAATTTGTATGTAAAGAAAAAGTTTGTGTGTCTGTGTGTGTGTTCATTCATTGCATTCACTGAATTTGTTTTTCTTCCTAAATTAACTAAGAAATGACGCAATCTAATCTCCAGATGTGCCATGCTGGTGTGAGGTAGCGGTGGGAGTTAGACGTAGAAAGAGAGTTTTGTATAGAGAGGCGGAGGAGAGGCAGGGAATATAGATATAGTGATATGCAAATAGTGTTGTCGAGAAGACATGAAAATATAAAATATAATATATAAGAAAGTATCTTTAGATGTTGTGTGTCGGGAGGAGAAGAAAAAGGGTTGATGACATGCTAGATAGATAGATAGATAGATAGATAGATAAAAACAGACTGAGATAGATGGGTAGGTACATATATTAACAGACTCAAATCGATAGATAGATTTTATTATAGATAAATAGATAGATAAATAAAAATAGATATATATTTAAATTTTAATATATAAAAAAAAAAGATACAGAGAGAAATGAATAGACTGAGATAGATAGATATGAACGGATTCAGATAAATCAATCGCCTTTTTTGAATTCATTTTCCATCTTTCCATATTCTTTCATTTTCCATCTCTTGACATCAAAAATTATTCTCTCTCTCTCTATATATATATATATATATATTCATCTATCTATCTATCTATCTATCTATCTATCTATCTATCATCTATTTTTATCGTATCTATTTATTCATCTATCTATTAACATTCCGCATCTATCTATCTATCTATCTATCTATCTATCTATCTATCTATCTATCTGCCTCATTCCGTATCTATCTATCTATCTATCTATCTGCCTCATTCCGTATCTATCTATCTATCTATCTATCTATCTATCTATCTATCTATCTATCTATCTATCTGCCTCATTCCGTATCTATCTATCTATCTACATTCCGTATCTATCTATCTATCTATCTATCTATCTATTAAATCTCATTCCGTAATCTATCTATCTATCTATCTATCTATCTATCTTTATCTATCTGCCTCATTCCGTATCTATCTATCTATCTGCATCATTCCGTATCTATAAATCTATCTATCTATCTATATTTATATCTGCCCTCATTCCGTATAAATCTATCTATCTATCTATCTGCCTATTCTGGTCTATCTATCTATCTATCTATCTATCTATCTATATATCTATCTATCTATCTATCTATATCATTCCGTATCTATCTATCTATCTATGACTTTTACCCAACCTATCATCTATCTGCTAGATTCCGTCATAATATTTTGCTTCAACAGACAGAATGTTGGTTGAAGAATCGACCTAATAAAACAGATCGATAAAAAATGTATGAAGGCGATTGATAGACTGAAGATAAGTTTCAAGAAGAAAACCTGGGAAAGAAAGATTGAAAAAAAGAAAAAAAAGAAAAAGAAAAAGAAACTGGCAGTTGTGGTAGTGTCAAAAATATGAAGTTAATCACACACAGACACACACACATAAAGAGCAGCCGAAATCATTATTATTAATAAAATTAAGAGAGGAAAGATTTGATGGAGATTATATACCTGTTTCAAAAAAAAAGTATTTTTTTTTATAGGAAATATTTTAATATACACATTTAAACGCATTTGTCTGTGTGTTTGAGAGAGAGAGGTTAGAATCGGAATCACACACACACATAAATTTAATATTTATATAGATACATTACATGCAAACAGATAATTTTGAAAGAAATAGAGAAAGTTGGATATATATATATATATATATATATATATAATTATTTATTTAAAACTATGATTCCAACGCTATTTTACATAAGAGTTTAATGTTTCAAAACAAGAAAATATAATGTTTCTTTTCAATATAATTATTTGAATTAAATTGAATTAAAATAGAACAAGCTTGATGTTCCATCTTCAAGCGAATATTTTTTTGAATTCAAATATATATATTGAAGTTTTCAGCTCTTGTTTTGAAAATCTTGAGAACTCTTATTTAGCGTTGGAATCATATTTTAAATAAATAAATATATTTTATGCTCTACTTTTGTATTGAGCACTATTTTTTTTTAAATAATAAAAAATACTAAAGAACTTTGGATTATTTACCTAACGAGTTCTTTCCTATTTTCTATATATTTTTTTTATATACACATATATATATTTATTTATATATATATATATATATATATATATATATATATATATAGTCGACTCTCCCGTCGAGTTCGACGTATGAGGGTCAAGCAGATCAGTTTCCAGGAAACCGACAGCCCGACACCGGCACATGAGATTTGATTATAGTGGTGAAGGCCTCGTGCAGGACCATCCACACTTTTTTTTTTTTTTTTTTGACGAATACAGAGACCTGGTGCACCAAGTGCCACAAGGTTCCCGAATGACCCTCCGCAGGTTTTGAATTCAGAGTTGTCCTTCTCCTAGGCCAGTTGCCATCCAAGGCTATAGAACCAAGTCTGTCCTGCTATTTTACCCATAGCTGGAGGGAGAAGAAGAGGATTCACACCTTTCCCAAGGGTATTAGCACATAAGTGAATGTAATGGATTCGACTGGAATTCGAACTCAGCTCTCCGATTCCTCAATCCAAGCCGCTATCCATTACTTCACCGTATATATATAATGGCAGCCTTGAATGAAAAACTTTATGTAAATACATACATCCTTAAAAATGGCTACATGTATAGCCGAAAGCGCTTGGAAAAAAAGAACATTTGGACAGTTTTTATATAATTTATCATCTGAAAAGAAAAGAAAATATTAGATCACATGAGAAATTGTACAAAAAACTAAATCAAAGCACCTTTCTTTTTGATATATTGAAATGTGCATGAAAGAAAAGTTTGCTGCATTTTAATACATACATATATATATATGTATTTAGGCAGCAATCCTTCTTTCATGCATTTCATATATATATATATATATATATATATATATATATATATATACAGAATAGAGAGATATTTAGAGAGATAGAGAGAGAGAGAGAGAGAGAAATTTAGCAAAGTGTCCTGATTGTGAAATAGAATTCAGTATGTCAGTGAGAGAATTAATCTGTGAGAAATGCAATGGAACAATTATGAGATGATAGAATATGTGTGCTTGTTAGAGAGAGAGAGATTGGGGGGGAAACAGAGAAATAGAGATAGATTGATAGATTATAGAGAGAGATACACAAGAATTGTGTTTTTGTATGAGAGAGAATGAGGTTGTGAGAAAGAGAGAGATAAAAATTTTATAGATATTTAAAAGTGTGCGTTTATATTGACAGAGAGAGAGATAGGGGCATAGAGAGGAGAGAGGGGGGAGATCAGAGAGAAAGCTAATAGTAAGAAGTGGGAATACTGAGGTAGACGTTGCCTGCAATAAATTTTCAGTCACTGGAAGGTTCAACTTGACCTCAGATAATATATATATACATAAATTAGAAATTTATTTGGTCAAAAGACATAGGGTTAGGGGAAAATACATAAAGTTTTAAACAAAACTTAAATAATTTAAAAAAAAAAAATCAAATTTCCTTTTGGATTGACACACATTCATGAATATATACTTAAATATTTATATTTTCATATATAATTATATATATATATATATATATATATATATATATATATATATATGTATATGTTTTGTGTATTTGTGTTATGTTTTTGTGTTTTTTTTTGTGTGTGTGTTTTTTTTTCTTTATCAAATGTTCCATGAAACGTATATCAAATATAGAAATAGTACCTATTATTTTTTTTTAAATAAATATCTCTTATTTTTGAATTTTTTAATCTTGAAAATTTGAAAAAATACAAATTTTCACAATTTTATTCAGCAAAAAATATATCTGTCGATAGATATATTTATCTCAATCTGTTCTTATCTATCTTTATATATATATATATATATATATATATATATATATATATATGATATATATATATATATATATATCTAAAATATTCTTAATGTATCCTAGTCTGTTTCTTTATCTATCTATCTATCTCAGTCTGTTCTTATCTATCTATCTATCTAAATAAATTCGGACTATTGTCTTTCTTTGTTTTCATACTTATTACAACGTTTCGGCTGTTGTACGCTCCGGTCTTCTTCAGGTGGTTGGAATTTCGAACTGAACCCTTTATTTCGCTCACTGGGGTAGACAGTTCTAGTTTCACGTGCTGATTTTGATGGATGTTTATATATCAGTTATCTCCTAAGAATTTCCCTCTGAAAAAAACAAAAAAACAACTGGGTATTGAACTCACACTTTTTGGGTCCTGTGTCACTGGATCTAACCAACGCCTTTATCCACTGTGCCATGTGTCCATGTTATTTGATTTCTGTGTGACACATTTCTTTCAATTCCCTTGCCAGACCTAAGGTTAGAAATGGCATCAATGAAATATCCCAGTAATCAAAATAAATAAATCCAATAAAAAATTTATATAGATAAAACCCATTCGTAAAGTGTATATATATATATATATACAATTTTTGCATTTCTTTTGAGGCATGGGCTTCAATAGGAATCCCTCCGATTCGTCTATTGGAATTCTTTTTTAAGCAATCCGAATGCTATTTTCTTTTTATTTCTTTGATTTCTGGTTTATAGTGGAAATTCCAGGTCCTCCCAGAGACCTATAGATTAAAAATGGCATCGTGACCTTTTCACTGACCAATTTAAAAAAAAAAATTAAATAGGTAAAGGTAATTCGTAAAGATAGATATTTCTTTTTAAAAACAACTTTTGTATCACTTTAAGGCATTACTTGCCAGGAATCCCTTCAATTAGTCTACTGCAATCTCTTCCAACAAATCCGATGGCTTCAACTACAACAGGGATTGTTGATGTTCCCAGGTACCACATTTTTGAGACTTCTATTTTATTATCATTATTATTATTATTATTATTATTACCATTATTATTATTATTTTCTTTGATTTCTGGCGTTTACACATTTCTTTCCGTGTCCCGCCCAGAGACCTAAGGTTAGAAATGGCATCATGACGAAGAAAAAAACATATTTTACATAGATAAAGCCCTTCGTAAGGTGTGGGCTGTACTCGTGAGAACAATTTTTTGTATTTCTTTGAGGCATGGACTTCCAGGAATCCCTTCAGTGAGTCTATTGGAATCTTTTCCAACCAATCCTAGGGCTCCAATTACAACAGGGATTGTTGATGTTCCCATGTGCCAAATTATTTGTAACAGAGAATCGGGTCATCCCGATAAAAGACTACGACTTGGACGAGTGGTCAAGGCAATGGTTTTGAAATCGTATCTCATCTATTTCTCGCAGCTGGCGACGTTCTTCATAGATGGATGGGGATCACTCGGCTCGTCCATCGATGAAGATCGCTGCCAGCCGCGAGAACTCGTCAATCGCCCAAATAGTTTGTGTTCGTCTTGTCTGGTTTTGTTACGTCCGCACGTTGAGAGCGGGGGTCTGGCACTGGGACAACCAGTTTTTTTTTCTCTCAGTCGAGACAGACGCTCTTAGCGCAACGAAAACCAGACAAGACGAACATATTCTTTGGTTCCGGGGTTGGGTTACCCAATAAACATGTACCGTCTTGTATTTAAATCGAAATACTGTCGGCAAGTGTCAGAGCAAAGTAGAAAGATTAGATTCATGCCTTCATGATAATAATGATTTAGTGATAGACGGCTTACTAATTAATTCATAGATGGGGGAGATGTGGTGTATTCATACCATTCCCGAGGGTGTTTATGCGTAACTGAATGTTATTTTCTGACTCCATGCCAGATGGATAAAATAAAATCGCTCATTGACTGACGCCTTGTTCCAGATTCAGTGCTAGGAAAATAATCCCACAATGATTGATGTTATTTTGTAAGGAGTTCGATCCTCATCGGAGGCCACCACAATTATTCCATTCAGATTGCAGACGATATGGAATGTGTTATTATTCTTAAATAATAATTTTTAGATTATTTTATTTGCATGTTTATATTGAATGAAATAAAAATATTTTTTGGCTATACGTCAAATCTATTTTAGGAAATGTTACAATTAATATAATGGCTAATCGGAATTATTTCCAATGTATATTTAAAGTAAAAATCATTTTCAATGAATTTTATAATAAAAATAATTTTCAATGCATTTTCATAGTAAAAATAATTTCAATGCATTTTCATAGTAAAAAATTTTTTCAATGCATTTTCATATAGTAAAAAATTCCTCCAATGCATTTTCATAATAAAATCATTTCCAATGTTTTTCATAGTAAAAATCATTCGCCAATGCATTTTCATAATAAAATCATTTCAATGCATTTTCATAATAAAAATCATTTCAATGCATTTTCATAGTAAAAATCATTGGTCAATGCATTTTCATAGTAAAAATCATTTCAATGCATTTTCATAGTAAAAATCATTTCCAATGCATTTTCATAGTAAAATCATTTTCCAATGCATTTTCATAGTAAAATCATTTCCAATACATTTTCATAGTAAAATCATTTCCAATGCATTTTTTCATAGTAAAAATCATTTCAATGCATTTTCATAGTAAAAATCATTTCCAATGCATTTTTTCATAGTAAAAATCATTTCAATGCATTTTTCATAGTAAAAAATCATTGGCCAATGCATTTTCATAGTAAAAATCATTGGCCAATGCATTTTCATAGTAAAAAAATCATTTCCAATGCATTTTCATATAAAAATCATTTCCAATGCATTTTTTTCATAGTAAAAATCATTTGCAATGCATTTTCATAGTAAAAAAATCATTGGCCAATACATTTTTCATAGTAAAAATCATTTCCAATGCATTTTCATAGTAAAAATCATTTCAATGCATTTTCATAGTAAAAAATCATTTCCAATGCATTTTCATAGTAAAAATTTCAATGCATCCAATGCATTTTCATATTAAAAAATCATTTCAATGCATTTTCATAGTAAAAATCATTTCCAATGCATTTTCATAGTAAAAAATGCATTTCCAATGCATTTTTTATTAAAAATCATTTCCATGCATTTTCATAGTAAAATCATTTCCAATGCATTTTCATAGTAAAAAATCATTTCCAATGCATTTTTATAGTAAAAATCATTTCCAATGCATTTTCATAGTAAAAATCATTTCCAATGCATTTTCATAGTAAAATCATTGGCCAATGCATTTTCATAGTAAAAATCATTTCCAATGCATTTTCATAGTAAAAATCATTGGCCAATGCATTTTAGTCATATTAATAAAAATCATTGGTCAATGTTATTTTCATAGTAAAAAAATTTTGGTCAATGCATTTTCATTATAAGTAAAATCATTTTCATTTTTCATAGTAAAATCATTGGTAAATGCCAATGTGAATTTTAATGCGTAAAAAAATTTTATTGTTGAATTTTCATATTCCTTTGCAATGCATTTTCATAGTAAAAAGTAATGGCATGTATTTTCATAGTAAAATATATATTGTGGGGAAACTACCTACAAATGGACCTTTCCACACCTATATAATATCATTACCAACTCTGAGTAAAACAAAGTCACCAAGGAGGGTCACTGAGTAGTAAACGGAGAATGAATGAGTCAGGACACCAGTGAGAGAAAATGGAGGCAAGTCACATTTAACTTTGTACTACGTTTCGAGAATCTACTATTTAACCTTATATCCGAGTCCGTGTTATCTTTCTATGGTTCCACACCATAACAAAATCATTTCAATGCATTTTCATAGTAAATATCATTGGAATGTTTGGGAGACATTTTCATAGTAAAATCATTTTCAAGCCAGTCAAGCATAGATATGAATGCAAACTAGAGAAAAAGAATAATAACATGAAAAAATTGTAATATTAGCTCTGGTAAAAAAAAAAATTCCTGAGACATTAGTTTTTATAAATCACCCAAATTCATACGCTGATCTCCTTAAGGACGATGGCCCATTGGAAAAATTTGAATTCAGTGACTTGACCCAAAACAGAGTTGTAAGTTCAGTACCTGATAAAAAGGTGAAGAGAAACTTGAGGGTTGAGTTAACCCAGATAATTGATAATGAGCTATCCAAAGAGGCACGTGAAACTAGAATAATCTACGCCGGGATTCGGTTCAAAATTCCAATCACAAAAGAAGGCCGGGGAACAAACAAATGTCGTGAATATGGTAACAACGTTGAGGACAACAGTCCGAACAATGTAAATAATGTAAATATTACAATACCTAATCTCAGAATAAAATGATAGACATCGAATGAACTAAGATAGATAGATAGATAGATAGATAGATAGATAGATAGATAGATATATGAACAGACTCAGATAGATATGTACAGACTTAGATAGATAGATAGATAGATAGATAGATGGAGAAAATAGATGGATAACAGATTTAGATAGATATAGATAGATAGATAGATATGAACAGACTTAGATAGATAGATAGATAGATAGATATGGATAGATATGAACAGACAGATAGATGGATGAAATGAGACTTATAGAGGCTTTAGATAGATAGATAGATAGATAGATAGATAGATAGATAGATAGATAGATAGATATGAACAGACTTAGATAGATATGAACATTCTTAGATAGATAGATAGATAGATAGATAGATAGATAGATAGATAGATAGATAGATAGATAGATATGAACAGATGGAGTAAAACGAACAGACTTAGATAGATATGAACAGACTTAGATATGAACAGAACATACAATAGATAGATAGATAGATAGATAGATAGATAGATATTATAGATAGATAGATTGTTTTAAGAGGTCAATGAATGACGAATATTTCCCTTGTAATATTTCCATTACATTGGCTCTGTCCGTTGTTCCTCAACGGACCAATATATCTAATATCTAAAATCATCGTTCATAACCAAATGAGGATGCCTTACATGAATGGGAGATGACAGACTGCCTAAACAGTTATTTTTATGGAGATTTATCATCCTAAATAAAAAAAAAAGATTACAGATGTTGTTAATCTTAAAAGCTTGGCAGTGATGTTGAGGACTGGGAAACGTTGATAGGAAACTGTCTGGAGGAAAATAATAATCGATGTTTGATCATGGTTTTTAAATGGGATTTTTGAAAATCTGACAACTATCCGCAGCGATTTACAAGAAACTTCCCAGAGTTTTGGGACAAAATATGTGGGTCAGCAATGAAGACCGAGAGGACCAAAATAAACTCTGAAGACGATAAAAGATTCTTTCGTCTGGCATGTATACTCGCCAAATTTCAAAAGTAAATAGGAATAAATTTTAAGTCAGTGAAATGCAAAGGTGAATGACTGTCTCTGAGGAAGTTGAACTTGGCTTGTAGTTTTTATTTGTTTTTTAGTTAATTTTGGTCAGTTCTGGGATTGGTTCAAGTAGATTTTTTTTTCAAAGCAGGGACCCATGGATCTCAAAATTTTTTTTTGTCATCTTGACAGTTCTCTGGTTGCTGGAAAGGATGAATGTTATGGAAATTGTCTTTTAATTTGGGGTAATGTATGTATGTGTATATATTTGGTTATGGGAGTATCTGGCGAGTGTGTGTATAGGAGACCGCATCACTTCTATAAGCATGTCTGTCTAATGTGGTTGAGTGTGATGGGTAGGTGAGTCAGCTTGATTATACTTCATGGGAAGACCTCATTGCATGTGGTAGCTATAAGGTATATTCAAAAATACCGAGATTATAATGTGTGAAAGAGAAAAATGGGTGGGGATGACCTAATTCATATGTTAAATCTATCTGTGCTGTTTAGTTTGTTGTTGAATCTGTCTGATAACGTTTTTGTGGCAAAAATCCATTTGTCTTCCTGTTCTTCTAATATTTTTTAAGATAACTTTTTCTTTTGTGATTATTCCTATTCTTTCAATAATAGTGAATTTTGCATGGTTTTAATAACCATGTTTTTCTAAGATCCTCGGAAATATTAGTCTGTAGGTAATAATATTTTATGGGAAAACGACTTAATCCGATTCCGATAATTATTAATTCTGTAGTGAAAGGGCAATTCAGATTTTTTCCCACATATTGTTTCTATCATAGTAAATGCATTCTAATAAGTAAATTATGTTATGAATTCTAAGTTAGAGTTGTGGTAGATTTTCCAAAGTAGATTTAGTGACTGAGCTAGTGAACGAATTAAACACTTTTAATGGGATACAACATAGGCTCCTTTTGTTGCTTCATGGTTGGGAAAATCCATTATTGTTTTATTCTTGGTCTATTTCGTGTTACTTTGTCGTCTGAAATTTAGTTACCACCTATAAATTCTTTAACATTCTTTGGTCTACGATGTGCCAGAAGGCCGGGTTCCTCAAACAAAATTTTTAGGTATGGTTTGAGATGTAGTATTTCCCAGCGACTTTGAGACTAGCGGCCATACCCAGCTGGTCGAGAAGAAAAGTTCAGTTACAGTGGAGCAAAAACAGCATCATGTTAGATGGCAGAGTCTATCTTCTTCATTACTTTAAAAATTGGTTGAAAGATCAACGAAAAAATAACAAGGAAACCAATAAAATTCACCATTTTTCGCTATTTACGCGTGTTTTCATTATATGGGTAAACTCAATTATCAAGTTAAATGACCGATAAACAATCAACTTATTGTTGGCTACAATTGAGTGAAGTTTGTATTAGATTGCTTACGTGAGGGAGTTCTTAGTTTAAAATTTGTGTTGAAATCGAATTGTGTTGAAATCAATTTTTCATTTTTCGAGGTTTTCGCTAAATGCAGTGGCGTCAGAATAAAAAACAAAAGTCTCATTGAGCTTGTCATGATATAAGTAACCTACATACCGAATTTGAACGAAATCGGAGGAAAAAGTTGAATTTATAGATGTTTTATTTAGGGTGTCTTCTCTCGATGCGGAAATTTCTTTATTTATTTGTTCCCTGATGAGGTGTTGTTTATAGCCACGTGTTGTGAACTGATGCTCAAAGATTTTGAGTGTGTTTATTTAGTTACTTCATTGCTGAAACATATCCTTCTGAGTCCAAGTGCTTGTGAATAGGAAAGGTTCTCTTTGACGTGTTTTGGGTGGGAAGACTTAAGTTGAAGGGTGTCGGTGATTTTAGTGTGTAGTGTCGTTTGTAGTTTTCGTTTTTGTATCAATGTAGATATGGGTGTCTAAAAATGTTACCGATCGTGTTTATTTTTCGTGGTTGAACTTAATGAGACTTGTACTGTGTTTAGGGTCATAAAGAATTCGGTAAGTTTTTTCTCATTGCCCGTATATATGAAGAAGATATCATTTTATATCTTGCGTTTCACAATATGCAGTCATTACCGATGACATGATAAATAAAAAATCCTCTTGCCCATGAAGCTGCAACGGTGACCATGACACATCTTTTTGACTTGTAGGTAGGTATCTTCCATTGAAATCAAAACTATTCAATGGGAGGTGTGTGTTCCATAAGTTTTATGATTATTTCTGTGGTGTGTCTTGTTCTATTCTTTTTAAAATGCTTTTTTAAGGGCGATTAGACCTTCGTTGAGTTTAATGTTGAATAAAGCGATCTAACGTCCATGGTTAGTTATAGTTGCATTTTCTAGTACTGTTTGTATATGTTTAATTCTGTTTAGTAGGTCTGTTTTTTTGTTGATGTTTTTTTTATTCCTTATGAAAACTTTCTGTATATTGTTTTTCACGTATTTGAATATTTTAGTTGTGTGGCATTTAAATGATGCAATGGCTATTCCTTCCTGGGTTGTTTTATGTATTTTGGGAAGGAGATAGAAACAGGCAGGTGTGATGTTTTAGGTGTAAGTGCTGCAAAAATTTCCATGTCAATAGTTTATTTTTGCGTTTTCTATCAAAAGAAACGGCGATTCTATGGCGGCTACCTTCTTCGATTTATTTAGAAGCGGGAACTTTTTGTTCATTCTGTCCGCTTCTTTTAACTGGGGTCACAGATGAGCAACAGTTTTCATGTCTGTAATGGTCCTCGCTTTTTAATCCCTTCAGACGAGTGGAACTAAATCCTGGCCATCTGGAGCATTGTTTATTGCATGTAGCTGTTTTTGTCATAGTTGGTTGTTGGCCTCGGTAAAAATTTCTTTTGGCCCAGATCATATGTGGCACCATTTCGTCACCCTGTGAAATGACTAGGTCATTTTTGTATATGAAGGGCCCTTTCAGTGATACTGTTATGTGGCAACTTACGTATATATATATATATATATATATATATATATATATATATTTAATGAAAAACAGACCACTTTAAAAATTACCATTACAATAATTTATTTCACCAAAATCCTTTTTAAAGGACTCCGAATTCATCAGGTTACAATTCCAACAACGAAATGAAAGTAAAATATGATTAGAAATTGATGGGAAAATTTTAATTTTGAAATTAATTTTAAAAATTGGATAACAAACAACGTCATATTGATTTTTTTTATGGGAGATTTTATGCCCAAACAAGATTTTTTAATTATTTTTTGATTGATAATTTTTTTGAAAAAATTTTAAACTTGACCTTCTGTTTTTTTTTTCTATATATATTTCAATTAAATATATAACTATTCAAATGTTTTTAAATATAGCAAAAAAAAAGTGACTATTATAATTCCTAATCTTTCTTTTTTAAATTTAACAATAATCCGAAAAAGGAAATACTTTACGTAACGAACTCACTGTTTGAGATAAAAATTTCTTGAGTTTAAATCGGCAATCCTCCATTTTGAACAAATATATATAACTTGAAAACCCCCCTAAAAAGTGGAGTGACAACTTTTCAAACGGGGATCAATAAATTCCAATATTCCATTTCTTTTTTCATCTGAATTATTTCAACACTAGCCCGATTATTGAATTCTAATTGCCAGCAAGGCAAATTTTATTTTCTCTTCTTTTTTCCGCGTAATTCATCTTTAAAAAAATCTTTTTTTTTGTTGCTGCAAGAAAAGTTTGATTTATTTGGTAAAAATCTAACCCAATGCCGAATATTTAAAGCATTTTAATTGTATTCTTAGTTGAAGAAGAAACTTTAAATCTGTTTCTGAACAAACCAGAAATACAGAAGAATGAAATTGAAATGAGAGCAACTTTCAACAGTGTTTATTTTTATCAAATGTTTCACTAAAAAGTGAATGCCAATTATTTATTTTTCCCATTTATCCATGAAAACAAATTTAAACATGTGTTGTTAAAATTAATGAAGTACAGACGACCAAAAGAAACCCCTGTGTTTATTTATTTCATCAATTCCTTGGGAATGATATTGAGAACAACGAAACATATGGCATAAATAGCCAAGGTCTACCAATGCGATAAACATAGATATACTAAGGGTTTTGTAGGCATATCAACCTCTACCAACTTTATTGAGTGCACTTTTTTATTAAATTCCATCAGTTTCCCTTCAAAAAGTTTCAAGTTCAAGAATTTCTTCAAAATAAATAATGTTGTACCTTTTTTAAATTCTAAATGGTATAATTTTTTAATAAAAATTAGTTGCCGGTAATAAGCTTAAAAATTTATTGCTTTATTTTTTTTTCTTTTTAGCCCAAGTTTTTGTTAAAGAACGCCCAAAATTAACCCTGAAAGTTGCAGAATTGGGTCAGGGGCCTTGTAAACAAAAGCAATTATATATATATATATATATATATTTATTATATAACCTGGCTTAGAGATTTATATTTTTGGATGTATTTATCGTTCCTTCATTGAAAATAATATTTATTGTCGTCAATGACCGGATATAAAATATATTCGTCATTGAAAGGGGTTTCAAATATGATTTATATATAATATATCCAATGTAGATTCGTCTTCCGCAATAATACAGTAAAACATCTAAGATGAAAAATAACTATTCATATATCCTTTCATTTTTCCATAATGGTTCATCTATTAAACTTTAAGTTTAGTTTGTCTTCGTTGAACGTTAGATTGAAAGAAATTTATTTCCGCGGTTGTATTCATGTTTTAGTTACATAAGTATTATTAAATTCGGAACTTAAAATATTTAACAAAATATTTACGGAATTAAATATTATATAAATCACTTTTATATATGATTCAAAATATTTTTTAGCTAGCATCGAATGTGTTAATTCTTATTTTCAGAAATATTTACGTCAAACACAGTTTCAAACAATGGATTCAACACATAAATTCGCCGATTGTCAAAATATCGAAGTCTTAATAAATAACCTTCGCATCTATAGAATATTTATATTTAATTTTTATTTTATGTTAAGTATTTTAAATTTGATTTCTCAAAGAAATAAAAATAAATTGGAAAAATGATTAAAAAAATTAAATTCTATAAAATTTTGTAGGCGATTTAAATGAATTCAAAAAATTGATATAAAATAATCTCTATTTCATCAAATTTTTCTTTTAAAAGATTCCAGTACAATTATTCATTGTGTGAATGGTGATTTTCCAAAAGGAATTAAAAAACTAACAAAACTTCCAAATTGTCCCGGATCTAAATTTTGTTACAGAATCCCCACGGATTAAAATGTCTTTGGATGTTGTTTTCTCGCCATTGCTGTGGCGACAATTAAATATTTGATTGTTTTAAATTTTCTTTCACATTGTGAAGAAATATTCGGCATCATCCAAGAAAGACCATGTTCTATGAGACAGAAGACACTCATATTTATATTTGGTAATACATTTCATAACTAAAAAATATATACATATAAAGCCCCCGTATTCCGATAGGAAGTATCGGCAAAAATACTTAATGTTTCCTAAAAATGCGTATTTTGTTTTCTTTGTCTCTGATGACAGGATACCCAAGATCCTAATGTACAGCCAGTTAGATCAGGGCTACAGGAATGTAGGACGCCCATGGCTAAGATACAAAGACAAGCTGAAAAGCAACTTGTCAGCAGTCAATATACCACATAACACCCTTGAGCGCTTAGCTTTGGAGCGGTAGAATGGAGATCAACGTGTTTTAGTGGACTCAGCAATTTTCAATCTGCTTGTCTGAATCATCTTCAAGAAGCGAGAGCAAGATCTAAAAGGTCAGCCAATCTAACAGTGATCTCATCTCACAATCCTCACACTTGCTCCATATGTGGCCTCCTTTGTAAATCACTAGCGGGTCTTAAATGCCACTTAAGATTATCGCACAAAATTTCATAACTGAATCAATAAGCTGTCAGATCCTCATACGTCGAAACCGACGGAGAGTCCATTATATATATATATATATATATATATATATATATATATATATATATATATATATATATTTAAAGATAACTTTTCAGATTGGATTTAATAAATTTAAAATTAAATTATATTTATCAACGTTTTTTTTGCAAATAAATTTTTTTGTTTTAAATAAAAATAAAATTAAAAATAATCTTTGAATAAATTCCTTTATTTTGCAAAAAATCGATGTCATTTCTTAAATTTTTAATTTTTCGATTTAATGAAATTTTTATGAAATTGAATTAAAAAATTAAATAATTTATCAGAATTTTTAAATAATTTAACCTAAATTTCTATATCTCTATAAATTTTTATATATATAAATTTAAAATTTCGTTTTTTAACAGAAACCCAGCTGTCTTTAAAATTTAAATATGAAAATCCATATATTCTATTGGCATTTTAATAAATTTTTTTATAATGATTAATTTTTTTTAATTGACAATTTTTTTAATGATTTAATAATAATTTTAATTAATTAAGAAATAAATATTATTTTTGAAAGTTAAAATATAATATTTAAATTTTGATCTAAATGTTGTTTTATTTGAAACATTTGAAATTTAATAATTAAGTAAGAAAAATGTATATTCAAGATAATTTAAAATATTATTTATTTTTTAATGATTTATATCAAATTTTTTCCATAATAATAATATATTTAATTTAAATAAATATTAATAATATATATATTAAATTTTTTTGAAATTATTAATCGTTTACTTTTCTTCATATTGTTATATCAATTTAATTTATAAATAAACGTGGTCTATAATCATAAAATAAAATTTTGAATTTATATTAATTTTTTTATTTTCTAAATTCAAATTGAAAAACAAAAAATAATATTGCAATTTATATTTTTAATGATTTTTTTTTGTAAAATATTATCATGACAAAAGAACTCAAAAGTTGCATAAATTTAAGAATTTGACATATTTAAATATATCATTGATATTCAATATATTTATTATTATTTTGATGTCAATAATTAATCTTTTTCATAAAAATGAATTTCATTTTTTATTTTTTTTTAATTTTTAATGCCAAACAAATTCAATGTAAAATAAAAAAGTTTTTAAATTTAAATAAAAAAATTTAAATATCTTTTTTAAAAAGAAACCACTTTTAGTTGTTTTAAAAGATTAAAATTCAAAATGTTCTATGAAATATATAAACATTATTAATATTTGAAATTTTTATATTTTCTTAAATTATAATCATGATTTTGAAAAAAACTATTTTTTAACATTAAAATATGAAAATATTTCTTCTTTTTGATATGTGTATCGAATCGAATTCCATTTCATTAATAAACAAAAAGATTTGAAAAAGATTATCATATTATTGAATTAATATGAATTTTTCATAATTTTAAATTTTCAAATTTTTTTTAAATTTTAAAAAATTTTTTACAGTATTGAGATCATTTTATGATATAAAATAGATATAAATGATCAGTTAATTCAAAAAAATATCCATTGTTTTCTGATTTTATTTCTAATTTTTTGATTATTTGATTTTAAAAAAATTTTTTATCAATTTTCGTTCTATATTATATAATAAAAAAAAATATTTCATTTAATTTTAATGGGGAAATTTAACTTTTTTAACATTTATTTCTATTTTTTTTAAAAAATTCCTAAAATTTTAAATTTGAAATCCTTCCTACTTCAATGTTTATTTAAAAAAATATTTTCTTATAATTTGTTTTTATTTGTCAAAAATTTTTTTTTGAATCAATAACAAAATGTTTAAAATTGAAAACAATTATTTATAAATAATTTTCAAAAAATTCATTTATTTAATAATTTATTTATTATATTATATATATATTAATAAAAATTGGAAAATTCAAATCATTAATATATTCAAATGTATAATAATTAATGAAATATTTTCCTTGGATAAAATTATTTATATTTTTTTATTTTTCAAAAATTTTTTGAAATTTTTAAAAAAAAATATATTTTATCAAAATATATTAAAAAAATATATATTTTTTTTTTTAAATGAGAATTTTAATTTTAAACTGGAACAATGAATTTGAATATTTTTTTTTTATTCTTTTTAAAGGATTTCACCGTGAAATTTCCTATGTATATTTATATTTTTTTGTGTTAAAAAAAAATAAACTTTGATAAATAAAATCAAATTTATAAATGATTTTTTTGTATCCGTTCAACATTTCAATTATTTTTACCGTTTCAATGAACGCCCTAGTTTTAAATGGAAAAATTTTCATTTTTTTTAAAAAAAAAAGTCTGTATCTTTTTTTATTTTATATTTTGAAATTTCCTATTCATAAATATATATTATTATATATATATCCATATAAATAAATATATATTATATTTTTTTTATTTTTTTTTTTGTATATATAATGTCAAATGTTTTAAATTTTAAAATTCGATATTCAAATTGATCATTTTTTATAAAAACTTTTTTTTTTATTTTAAAAATAAAATCAGATTTATCGAAGAATAATAAATAGTTATTTTAAAAAAAAATTGGAAACCAATTTTTGGATGTTAAAAATTTTTTTTTATTTTTTTTAGAATTTTTCAAATTTTTTAAAAATTTCCAAAATTATAAGTTAAATACTTTTAAAAAATTATTCAAATTTTAAAAACAAAAATGTCCTTTGTAAATAAAAATTTTTTCCATTTAAAATTTAAAAATAAAAAAAAAAAGTAAATTCTATTAAATTTTAATCTCAACTTTCATTTTATTCATAAATTATTAAACAATATTTTAAAATCCAAATTTAAAATTTTTTAAAATTTATATATCCCAACTTAATTTTTCAATGAAAATAATATATAAAATATATATGAAAAAAGATTGTAAAAAAATTTTTATCCATTTATTTATAATAAAAATTATAGTTTATTTTTTTGTCAAAAAAAAAAATATTATTTTGTTTTTTTTTTATATCAATCTTTAAAATAAATATTTATTAAGAATTTCTAAAAAAAAAAAACAATATTTTGAATGAATTATTCCATAAAAATTGTAAACAAATTTTTTTTGTCCTAGTAAAAATAATACATAATATGCAAGTCAAATTGTACAGATTTTAAAATTTTAATTTAAAGAAAAATTTTTTTATCTCTTTCTTTAAATCGTTAAAAATATAAATTATTTTATAATAAAAATCCTCTATTATAAAAACAAAATTCATTTATTGTTTAATTTTATAAAAAAAATCATAGACAAAAAAACAAATATAATTTTTATTTGGAATCTGGTCACAACATTTGAATTTTTTCTATTAAAATTTTGAAACAATGGGTAATCCATTTTGTTGCCTAATTTATAAAACCTTGAATTCAAAAGAAACAAAAAAACTTTGGTTTGATTCAAAAAATATTAAAAAAAATTTTACTTCCTTTCTTATGAAAAGACAAACAAAATCCTTAAAAAATGATTTCAATTTTTTTGGTGGATATTTTTTTTTTATTTTTATCTTTAATGTATTCATTAAATATAAATTATTTTTTTTTTTAAATAAAAGGAGAATATTATGGATAAAAGGATATTTTAAATTAAAATTTCAATATCTCCTTTGATTTTTTCATGTCACAATTTTCTGATTATTAGTGGTTTTAGATTCTTAAAAGATTAAAAATTTTTAAAAAAATATAATTTTTTTTTTAATGTTTTATGTTTTTGACTGAAAAAATATTTAAAAAATCATTTTATTTTTTCCAATAATTCTTTTAAATTCAAAATATCAAAAGCAAATTAAAAAGTAAAAGTTCATTGTATTTGGAAAACAATTTCTGTTCCAAATGTTATGGTTTCATGAGAAAAAATTTAATTTGCTTTAGTTTTTAGTTAAATATTCTTTTCCAAACAGATTAAAAAATCAAAATTTTCCTATAAATATATTCAAAGGTTTTGTATTTTTTTCCATATTATTATTTTTTGACAGAAAAAAAATAATATGATCTAACTATTTTTTACATTGATCCTAAAATTTAAAATTTTTCATTTCCCTTAAAATAGGATTTTAATAAAGCTTGTATAAATCAAAAAATTTAAATTTAAAATTAAAATTCTCCAATTACTGGAAATTTCTTTTAAAATCTTATATACAGCTGTTTGTGAAAATAAAATATATTTAATAAATAAAATATTTTATAATTTTTAATAAAATTTTTAATGTTTGGGTTAAAAAAAATCAATATAAAAGAAAATAATGATTAAATTTTGGATATAAAATATGAAAATTATGTTTTCAAATTCTTTAATAAAATTCAAAAATAAAATTATTCCATTTTATATTTTTTTTTTTTTTTTTTTTAATCATTGATCTTTAGGATTCTCAAAATTTTTCAATATTTATTTCCAAAATTATAATATATATATTTATATATATATATAATATCAAATCAATGAATTCAAAATTTTTGACATAATTCATTTT